TCGGCCATCTTGTTTTACAGGCTATAAATAGGATGTATTTGAAGGTGCTTTAACTTTTTTTTCTGTGACTGACAACTTGACAGTAAAAACTTTACACGCAGAGATCGCCCCACCCTTCTGACGCCCGTCAACTGTGGAACAATCCCGGCGGATAACTTTGGCACCAGGCGAGGCTCCACTGCAGATCATACCAGGAGAACAATGTGCTGCCAGTTCCCTGGTATTTTCACAGCCTGTCATGATAGAATTGGAAAATGATCTACTGCAGCGGTAAGAGAAGATTATCTGGGAGAGGGAATCACAAATCATAAACATGGCTAAACTCCTGCCTGTGTAGCAATAACGTCTTGATATATGACTCCAGATAAAATCACGTGTGGGAGAACAAAACCTCTCTCGCAAAAAAACAAAAGAATCCAGTGTTTTTTCTTTCATATTCATCTTAAACCTTGATGTCTGTGTTGAGTTGGTTCACATAAGTTATCACCATGTGCTCTCCATTACCTGTCCCGTGGCTCCAAATCAAACCAAAAACAGCCGCAGCAACAGACTATTGTTGGGTTCTATCGCCAAAACACAGGAACGAGAAATAAAACAACATGAACCTGCAGAGAAATCTCCCCCCTTCACGCTACACTCAAAGAGTCCTCGATCGTAGCCTCGAATCGCCGTTAATTATCCCGAGCAGCTCCCCTGTGAACGTGAGTCTCCACGAAACACAGCCTGCACCCTCGGCCTTTGACCGGGTATAAATAAAATACGTTGTGTGAGTCCCTCCTTGAGCCGCGATGAAAGCTCATCTCCATGGTGGAGGTGGCAGAGGACGAGAGAATGTGGACAGCTCAAGGTGATGGTGGCTGCTGTTAAACAAACCCATTCAACTCTGCTGGCACACGAAGTGTTCTCTGAATTCCAGGACATACTTTTATAGACAGTAATTTAAGCTAAATGGTCGACTTCCAAATTGTTAAACGCAACTCTGCATTTTTGGCTTTTGGATACAAAGCAGTGGGGAAAAATCCTGGAGGGAGTGTCGCTTCAACAATTCACATGTGGTGATAAAGTCTCACACTCAAACATTCAAAATGTGGCTCAATGCACAACTGAAGCCATTCTGCTGATGGTCACTGACCTGGGTTCACAGCTTCATGACTGCAGATTGCTCTTGAGCAAGAAGTCAACTTCGTACAGTTTCACAAAAATTAATTTCTCCGCCGAGGAGGTTTTGATTTCAACACTGTCAGTTTGTTTGTCAGCAGGATTATGAAAAAAAAAATCTACTGAACGAATTTCAGTAGATTGCAATTCGAGGATTTTCTTTTCTTTGTATTTGACTTTATTCAAGCCTCACTGCTCATACTAAAAGAAAAGAGATCCCTCACTTGGTGTTTTGCTCGGTTGCTGTGTGTATAGCTGTGAGCAGCAGTTCAAACGCAGCACTGCAATGCAGTTCTCTCTCTTTCACCCTTAAGTCTGTGTACCTGTCACTCGGAATCAGTTGCATGCGAGCGGAAAATTTGTGCATGGAAAGACGCATTCAACGCCTTGTTTTCTTTGTCAGCAGAATCACGCAAACAACGACAGACTGGATTCCATGGAAGTTGGTGTTAGGATGAGACATGGGCCAAGAAAGACACTTTCAATTTTAGCATCGATCTGCAAAAAGTATCCTGGATTTTTTTTTTTGTCCCTTTCTTTAACCTTGCCAAACAGAGTGGCAGAGCTAAAGTCTGAACTCCACTGATTCTACTTTAATCTGCAAAACTAATGAGATGTTCTATATTTTGGGAATGAGGAAGATTTGTCTTAAACTCAATCTTTAAAATAACTTTGGAAATGACGAAGCAAAGCAGCACAAACCATTGGATGAAAGTTTCAGTTGCAGAAACACTCAGCTACAAATGTTCAGTATAAAATCACTGGAACATGAGCTGCCCTGAGCTGAAATGGCCGACACTCTGAGAGGCTAATGGATGCCCCCCCGGGGCTGCTCGCCGTGACTTGGCAAAAACCCCTGAGCCGTTATACGAGAAAACCAGCAGCATCGACAGGATGATGTAATACAATAGAACCTATTTTTGTCCAAAAAGAGCACAGATCTAAAATGGTCGACCTGGAAAATGGCTGATGTCTGATGCACTTCGCCACTTTGCCAAATCAGATCAGAGGAGCATCATGTGATTAAGAGGAACTGAACCGCGGCAACAGAGGAGGAAGAAAAAAAACGATGGTTACTGTTTGATTATGACTCATCAACAACCAACGGCAGGGCGGGGCTGGCCAGGAATGTCATAGTAACCATAGTAACGTGACACACCAGAGAAATATGAGTACGTGTATTAAAAGGCCAGAGCAGTGGTCAGAGGCCATATCGTTGCTACTGGCAACAGAACAAACAAACTGAAGCTTCCTGGAAGTGAGAGTCACTCTGTGGTTCATCACCGCACAAACACAAACACCTCAAAAACTTCAAAAATGATTCGATCACGGCGATTAAATTATTTTTCAGATTAGTGGCGATGAACCTCGTGACCCTGGACTGACCTTCAAAACCTCCCCGGTGATAAAAGCAGGATGGAGACGGTGGAACTGGCAGGATGAAGAGAGTACAGGCGGGTTTTAACATTTTCATCCTCAGTCTATAAAACCTGAGAGCAAAACACATTCCTGGGCGGGAGAACATCGACCTGCACACATTCCACTAATAATCTGGTTTTTGAGAAGCTGCTGCTGATCCGTGTGTAAATACACAACTTCTGCATCATCGCGCTTTTCTCACAAGCTTCAATGGAGGTAACGTTGTTTTGTGATTTATTGGCAAAGACGGGATTGTTGACAACATACTGAACATTCCAGTCGACAGCAGATAAACGGAGTATGATGCGGGAGTGGTGTGAGGATGATTCAGTGCTCTTTAATAAGCTTTGAGAGGTTTTCTTGTTTTGAATAACTGTTCCCTTTGACCGACTCTCAGAAACAGAACAGATACGATCCTGTTCCTTTCAAACAAACTCCCCTCGCTCCTCCAACATAAACCCAGATGTGCGTCCTTCTTTGTGCTTCCGTCGGCCCCGGTGTTTGACAGCAGCTCACATAATTACACTCGAGTGACTTTTTCTCCACGGAGGCCGCATGGCTTCAGTCAGGCAGCTCCTGTGTTTTCATTTCTGTTGGGGATTCAGTAATGGCTCATTAAAGTGCCCTAACTGTCAGACTTAAATTACTGTCCTCAGAGTTACTAACTAACTACCAGCTGAATAGGAAACTTTGTCCCTGTGAGGAAATGTATCCACCGTGGTGCAACAATAGTGTGTTTGACTGCCGGATGAGCTCTGGCTAAGTCCTGGATGAAAGCCTGGAACAGCGACAGGTTCAGGAAAGAGCCTGATTCCACTTTGTCAGGGTGATGTATGTTGGATGCCATTAGCAGAGTCCTATATATCAGCTTGTCCTCTTTATAAACCCCAAAGCTGACGATGTGAAATTCATGATGGCAACAACGAAGTGTCTGCAGCAGCAAAGACGCCTCAGAGCAGGTTTCTTTTCTCACACGGCGTCTCGCTGGCTGTTGTTGGCTGTTTTGTTTGCGGTGAGGGCTGGCGAACAAACAGCCCCTGCAGCTTTTATAACTTCATATAACTTCATGCCATGGAAGCTCTGGAAATGGCACAAGGGTGAGTGTGGGCTTTAAAACTTACAATTACTGACAGAACTAAATGTCAGTGGGAGGGATTCAAAAAGTGTAAGAGTACGAGTAGTTCTGTTGCTGGAATATAACCACTGGCAACATAGCACAAAGATAGAAAACAGCATAAAGAGCGTGTCGGCCGAGCTGTAGGCTTGTCCGGCCCCTTACAGTCGTCGCCTAGCAACCGAGCTATTGATGAGAAGGTTCTTCTTTTGATTAGAAACGCTAAAAATACGTTGTTTTGTTTTTTTTGTTGTGCCAACATTTCAAAATAAATTCTTCCGTCAAAATGCAGCCTCGTAAGGATGCGGCCCCTGAACTGAGACGCGGCTGATGACTTGAATTAAAAACAAGCTTTACTTTCAGCCCTGACAGATTTCTTCCCGTCATCCAGGGGTTAAAAAGCAGACGAGAGACAGAAGCCCTGACTGAGACGTAGCCTCGAGCTTCAGATCACATCCATTTGATTCACTTGGCTTCAGAGCGAAGTCTACGTCAGGATGACAAACATCTCAAAGCCTCTAATGCCACAAACACCAGCAGCTCAGCAGCAGCTATTATCATTATTGTGTCGGATAAAAGGCTGCATTCATTTCGAATCAGGTCAAACACAAAGCGGGCGGGTAACAAGTAGTGGTGTGTGTGTGTGTGTGTGTTTGTGTGTGTGTGTGTGGGTAACAAACTGAATTTGGATCAAACAGGGACAAGAACCAAAGTAGCATCAAACTCTGTTGTCTGAGGAAAAACCACTGGATTCACTGAAACCACACGACTGAAGAGCAAAACAAAGAGAGAGGAGCAGACGGCAGCTCAGTCCAGACCTGGTTTTAACATGCGTCTGTGACCACATGTGACCGGATCTCACTCCGCCGCTCTGTGTGCAAATAGTCATCAGTCATTTCCGTTCATGAAGACAAAGTGATGAGGATTTTAGCCAGATGCCAGTTTACAGATGTGTCCGATGTGTGTGAACAAATTTACTCAGGAATGCATTGGACAGATTTACACCAAACTTTGTTGACGTTTTATTCGGTAGGGAATCTCCAGATGATTAACTTTTAGAGCTGTGTGCGTGTGCGTGTGTGTGCGTGTGTGTGTGTGTGTGTGTGTGTGTATGGGCTAATTGTGAAACTGCAGCAGGTCAGATGTTCGTGACCCAGGACACATTTGAATGTCTCACACCACCACTGGATGTGGTCGGATCACAGGACGCTGAACTTGGCGCTGACCATCTCAGGACGGACGTTAAAACCAGGTCTGAACTGGGTCTGATCCCTCAGGAGGAGCTCACCCTTTCCTGTGCCCCCTGACGGCCTCCGCTGGACCTCATCCACTCAAACCCACAAACAGTACTGACGTCACCAACAGCCACTTACCTGGAAGGAAAAAAAAAAAAGCACAAGAGCAAGAAGAAAACAGAGTTAGTGAAGGGGAGTTCGTTCCAAAGTGAAACACGCACCATTCAAAAACAGTCTTTAAAATTTAATTGGCAGTAAAAATGGAAAGAACAGCATTTTAAAAAATCTGGAGCGAAGTTAAACACAAACAAGAATAGCAGCGATTGTTAATACATCGAACAGAAACAGGGTCATTTGAGAAAATGCCTCTAATTGTTATTTTCTTGTCGACCACCGGACCTTTTTAAGAATGTAATAAAGTAAATAAAGCCCAGAAACTGTGGAAATAACTTTTCTGCTCAGTCGAACTCATTAAAACTCAATTCTGCTCATTTCTACTGGACTGCAGTTGCTTTACTACCAGTGCCACCTACTGGCCGCTTCAGGGAGAGCTCAAACTGAAAGAGTGATTTTAAACTTCCAAGAGATTTCAGATCCACCTGATTCCTCTTTGTCCTGAGAAAACAAACGTGTGATCACGTCTCAGCAGCAGGAGGATGATTAGAGAGGATGTGTCAAATTACGGAGGCGCTCGGCCTCGTGAATCACAGGAAACCTGAGGTTAATGACATCAAGTGATCACAGCAGCTAAGATCAGAGGCCGCTCCGTGGAAGGATCATGTCCGGACTCAACAAGCAGCATGACTGACAGACTCCCCGACAGCTAACAGGATTACACCGACTATTACTGACAAATACACACTCGGAGACAAACAGACGTTCTCAGACTGAATTATTCATCTCATAAAAACTCTTCTCTCATATCAGGAGGAAGCTGTATGGTGATTATCAGTTAATCAGCTTTTGTCATGGTTTCATATTCTCTAACGTGAATCTTCCTTTTTTTTCAACAGGACAGTAAATTAAATATTTTGCGGGTTTGTTGGTAGGAATATAAATATAAAGGAAATTGTGATTTTTACTGTTTTCTGGTGTTTTATTTACCAAAAATAATTAATTCAGTGATTTATTAAGTGTGATTTCGAAAATACTTAGAGAATAATTTATCATAAAATAAAAGTCCTGAACCAGGGCTGGAGTTTCTATAACTCATCAAGATGATTAAAACATAAGGGCTGGGTAATTGATTCATTAATTTATTAATTAACATCTACCTAGATGTGTGAATCTGGTTGAAGGTGAACACCCTTTGACTGTAGCTCTCCCATCTGGAGCGAATCACACGGCTGCGCTGCACAGAAACACGTGAGGAATGTGAAGTCATCGACCGATTCCTGCAGCTCAAGTAGCAGCTGAAGCATCTGAGAGCTACTGGATATATTCTGCTGCTGCTGCACAGACTGGGAGAGTGACACACGAGCCGTTCATCTCCCAGCATGAAATATAGACACAGGATGTGCATCGGCAACATCGCACACACACCAGATGAATGACGACACGTGATACTTACAACTGAAGAGAAATACAGCCCATAAACATGTAGGATTTACAAACCTACACGATGTAATACATTCATGAGAGTATTTGTTTAAACTATGAACTCCCCAGTTCTGTTCCAACAACAGAAGCTGATCAATGATCAGTTTATCTAATGAAACGTTCTCCTGGATAATTCGATATTGAACCACATCATATTCCTGTCATGATGTTTAACAGAGCTGAATAATTTATCAGGGGGCAGATATGAGCTTTACTTTTCTCTTACAATATAAAATATGCTGACGCTGTAATTACTTGGTTTAGTGTAAATCAGATCCGAAGATGTGAAGCTGCCAAATGTCAGAAAAAGCTACTTTGCCTCTCTGCAAAACGAAACCTCCGAGTGGTCAAGTGCAGCGACCCCCGACCTCAGCTCCTTTTGAACTGGATATCACAGCTTTGCTGCTCAGCTTAAAAGGTCCCGACATGTTATCTTTCCCCGGCACGTGACCTTCAGACAGCAGCCAGTGTTTCAGTGACAACAGTCTGATGAGGGCTAAACAGAAAACCCTGGAGTGGAGGGAGAGTTCAAACACACAATTAAATAACAGAGTTACACAAATGCTGAAGGTTAAAGCCGGTTAGAGTTTGTCTTCATGTTGTTCTGCTGTTAATTTGACTTCTTGCTGAGGCAACGTTTTATCATCCGCTTGCTGAGTGACAATGAAATATTTATATCCGATGTCAAAAATTTCATGCAAGCAAAAAAACAAACAATCCATCATCTGAGATCCACAACACAGCAAGAGACACAGCACTGTGGCATCTTGGGAACATTTAAATGGTTCTTTCTTGGCTCATGTTTTGTCCTCCCACCAAGTTTTGTAGAAAATGAGTTCAGTATTTTTTGCATAATCCTGCTGACTAACAAACAAACAAACAGACAAACAGACAAACAGACAGGGGAGCAGACACAACCTCTGGGTGTCAGTAAAACGGAGAAGCAGAGTTTCATCATCCTCTGCCAGTGAAATATTTCTGATCCAAACGTTCGGCAGCCCAATGCAGCTTTTCCCAATCCTTCCTAAAAGCTTTTTCAGAAAAGTGCAGAAGCCTGAAATGAGCTGAATCTATCTGGGTCAGGTCTTTGAGCAGGAACACCACGCTGCTTGAACACTTCAGTCAGCGACATGTCACAGATCAACGGAGGTTTTACGTGTCTCGACACATACAGGAGGCTTCAGTGTTCGAGAGCTGATTCTGCACCAAGTGCATGAAAATAGCTGACAAGAATGGACAATGGGGTCAGTGGTGTCGAGGTGACGACAGGCTTACAAATGAACTGAGTCTGCACCAGGGTCCAACATATTAAGTAACTCCATTGGGAGCGCTCAGTGAAGCGAGGGAGCTTTTGTCTCCGTATCCCAGAGGAAAACATTCTCAGCCTCTCCGAGTGGGCAGGGCTCCTTCAGATCCAGCTCCAGGATCATTTAAACGCTCCTCCGACGTGTTACCACATTCTGTCCGGGCCAGAATCCTCCAGACAAACCAGAGGAGCTGTTTTTAAAAAGCGCTCTGAGTCAGTTTCACCGGCCTGTTGGCTCCGCTCTCTGCAGATTTAAGGCTTTCTGTCCTTATAAATGTCCGTCAGGACGCTTCAATCCTTCGCTCAGTGAAGTTTAGATGGAGTACATTGATAAAGAGAGTGTGTAGCTCACTCTCCATGGTCTGAATAGATGAATCTACACCAACCATGCAGACTGTGATACCTGCAGGGTGGCACAGTGGAATTCATTAAGATGCCTGTTGGATACAGACTAATTAAGGGAATGCAAATTAAAAACATGCACCCTACTTAGTTTGTCTGAGTACAGTGTTCATGAAAAGCCTAAAGGATGTTTGAATTTGCAAGTGGAGCTATTAATAAAAGTAATAATGCAGTTTAGGAGGTTGTATTTATTATTTGACTGTCTGTTGGCAGGATTATGTTAAAACTACAAATGCAGGGGGGAAATGTTCACTTTCTTTAACATGCCCAGATAAAACGCTAGCTTACTAATGAGTAAAGTTTAGTTACAGCACCAACGTGACAAACTTTCACCCTCAGCAATAATAACTTTTATCCTAAAAATCATTTTTTTAATTTGACAAAACATTGATAAAATGATATGAAGGTCTTTTTTAGGGAAATAACTCTGGACCGAGGTTTGCACACAGAAATAACTCTGAGGCGTTTGCATTTCAGTATTTCTCATTTCTGTGACGCCGAAGCAAAGTGGTGAGACTCCTTTAAGTGAAGACGGTGGGAGGAACAAACTTCGCTGATGTAAACACTAATGTAAGCAAACATGAAACCACGCTGCAGCCGCACCGACACACAGAGACCCGGTTGTATGGCACACACTGATGTTTCTGCAGCAGCAGTCTCATCCCGTCCCTGACTGATGGGCAGGGCACCACTTGGCTGTATCACTGCTGTTACCGCGGCGATGCAGCAGCCGTTCTGCATCTCCTGGCGCAGACGCATTTAATGTTCCGCATGCAGCAGCAGCAGCCTCCCACTGCACCTCATAAAAACACAGCGTCTCAGCACAATGGTTCCCCCTGACCCCTGGACCAACCCCCTGTTCGCCTCCGGAAATAAAGGGGCTTTTCATCCCTCTTATCCACAAAAACATGCAGAGCGAGCGAGGATTACGATTCCTCTGCAGCCCTGAAACCTTCAAACTTTCTCCTCCGCCTGCATCTATACGATGAGGGAGTCCTCGCCAGGGAGGCATTGTGGGAAAACAAGGCGGTCCTGAAAGCATATGATGGTGATGACAAGAGTGTGAGGAGGCAGAATCAGAGAAAAGAGGAGAGGAGTACCTTTGAGAGAGCTGATCTCGTGCTGGATAGACCTCCCAGGATCCATGCTCACAGTCTGCACTCCTGCCCGAGGCTCCGAACAGTCGAGTCACAGCTCTGCAAGGTCAGTTCAGCTCAGCACCACAACACTGAAGGATGCAAACGTCTCTCTCTACCAGCAGGCTCCTTCTATCCCTCCCTCTCTCTCTCTCTCTCTCTCTCTGCTCTGCCTGAGTTGGCAGCTCAGTGTTTTTGTTCACTCCCTCTCTCTCTCTCTCTCTCTTTTTCTCTCTCTTTCTGCTGCCCTCTCACACACAAATCCTGTCAGCAGAGAAACTAAAAGAAAGAAAATCCACCTCCGACCCCTCCCTGATGTCGACCCGTCTTATCCTCGTGGTGATTCACGGGGAGGCGCCCCGACCAATAACAGTCACGCTCCACCGTCACATTACAACGGAGCACTGGTTTCAAGCAGACGATACAGAGAGCGTGAAGTCACACATGTTTTGTCTCAATAAAGATTGAAATGCTCTGATAGTGGGAATCTAAGAAAACTCCATCAGGACAAGCGTGACTCAGCATTATGTCCTGAACTACTCCACTGCTGCCACAGCACAAGAGGAGCCTCTCTTAACCCAGAGTCACTGCAGACAAACCTGTGTCCCAGAAAAAACGTCTGTGTCACCGAACTACAAACTGTAATTTGAATATTGTTTTTACATTTACATATTTGACAGTTTGCAAATACGCTG